TAACTTGTAATGGAAACGAACAAGATATTTTGAATTAAGAAACATATATTTGTTTCAAATTAATCAACAAATCAATCAATGTTAACTCATGTTAGTCAGGATATTGATGCCAATTGGCTGCAAGTTAAACTTATATGGGCGGACCTTAAAGCAAAAGAGAAATGCGACCTTATATTGCTGGAATTTATCGAAAGAAGTCTAAAAAAACTTTAAGTTAGCTCAAATAATAAAAATAAATTAAACTATACTAACGTATCTTAGGCGAAAGGTAAACTTCTCTAAAATTGAATTAAATAAACGTTAACTCTGATAAACCAAAAATGGTAATTTCCTAAAGTTAAGTGCAGCCTGCTCAACAGTTCCGGTTGAGAAATGCAATATAATGTTAAGCGTTGAATAGGTACGAAAGAGAAAAGTGTGACCACAACGACATAATTAGTTATCTATATCAAACTGCACTGGTTGTGATATAATATTTTACGATGGGAGGTACGCAGTCGTATAAAAAAGCGAGTTATATTCTTAGTAATTTTTATTCACGCCGTCCCACGGCGCCTTCACGGCGAATGAGTATGTGTCACTTGTAACAATATGAAAAAACTTATTAATAATAGAACGACGGTCAAAGTCGACTGCAGATAATCAACCACACGTGCAGCAGATCCATCTTACATGTAAACGGAAATCATGCTAACTCGGGTAATAACATATAGATGAGCCCACACTAGCAGGTGGTTGCGATTTTGTTAGGCACTTTGCCGAATTTCCTCTCGAGTCGTATGACTGGTTCGGCTTTTTTCAGCAACAGAAAACATTGGAAAGGGAAGAAGCGTCGATAGTTTGGAATTGCATCCCCCCATGCAAATTCCTAAACGATCCCTGTAAGAATAGAACTCAAGGAAGCCTGAACTGGATTGAGGAGGATGGACTCACTTGTAGGCTGACCAGTGATTCGAAGCTGTGGAATAGGAAATTTGCTTTAAGTAAGGCTTGATAGTGCTCGTGTTGGCCCTTCGTAGGTTATATTGCATCTGCAGTGAAACGTTTGATGATCTGGAGCGATTTTTTCTGAATGAGAAGCGAATACCTTCCCGATATATCATTTATGCGATTATAAATTCTAATATACTTGGGCCGAACATCTCGTTATTCGTACGTTTTCTCTTTCGAATTCAGGATTTTGTCAAAATATTTAGTACTCAGTGGATGGCTGTGTAGTAATTAGATGATTCAGTACTCTCCTAATCTAATAGTATTGTCTTAATAATACAGGTTCTCTCAGAAGAGTTATCTATTGAATGTGAACATCGAGTAGGATCATAAAGAGTCAAGCAGCTGTAGCGCAGGTCACTGAAGCCAATTAATTTTCCTTCCAGTTTTTCTCCATGGTAAGGAATCTTTATTTCCAACCCTAGATATTAAGGTGTATGTGATAGCTTATTACTCTAAACTTTTGCTAAGCGAAGTCAGTCAATTTGTACGGGAATATTTCTAGCGAATAGGATATGTTCAGTTTTACCCAGATTCACTCATGATTACAGGTCAGCGGTGGATAAACGTTTACAGGCATCCAGACGATGTCCTGTTGAGGTAGAAACTACCGCTTTCAAAGTAGAGACCCTGTCCTTCCCGTCTGAATTCTCCTTAGCACGTCCATAAACGATATTTATTCAATAAAAGCGGATGATCCGTCCTATTAA